GAGGCGCTGCCGCAGCGACGCGCAGCGCGGCAGTGTGGTGCGGGAGGGGACCTCTGGGGGCCGCGAGGGCCGCATTTCCTTCACCCGCGTAGCGGCGGGGGTTGGGACAACACGCCTAAGGACTCCCGGGGCCCCGTCCTTGTTCACCGCCCTGGACAGTGCGGAAGGCGCGTGCGCGTCCTGTCAAATGCCAGTGTTAGCTACTCGCACGTGATTTCATGCCAAACCAGACTGAAGGAGCTCTAGAAGGTAAGGTAGGCTACTTTTGAAGGATATGCAGTCCTCAAGCCAGGTGTGGTAGCACATGGCTCTTACCCCAACACTCAGGGAGACTGAGGCAGGAGGATGGCAAGTTGGAGCATAGCCAGAGCAACTTAGTGACTTTACAAAACTGTCTCAAAAAATTTAAAAAAAAAGAAAAAGACCTCGGGTGTAGCTCAGTGTGAAAGCCCTGGGTTCAATCCACAGTGTTGCAATAAAAAAGTAATCATTAGGCAGGACTGAAATATTATAAGTATACTTAAATATAATAACTGTGAATACTGATATGACTAATGGTAGCCACTTATTTCTTTAGCACCCACCTGCTGGGAGCAGCTGGAGTGGGATATTGGTCATGTGTGTCAGGGCCGGACAGAGCCAGAGTACCTCAAGCAGTCAAGCTACTTCAGTATTAAAAAAAGCATCCTGTCTGGACAATTACAGTCGTTAGACACTAGGCAACATTACCTCTCTTGACACTAACTTTGCAAGAGTATAAAATAAACCCTCCGTTGAAGTCAGTCCACTTGTCCATCAGGTAAGAGGTAATTGCACCTGACACCGGCTATTGTCTCTTCTCTTTATTTTCTAAATCCTCTCGCTGTTTTCTCCCCGGGCCCACCGAGAGACCACCGAGTCCCACACCCACCTAGTCTTAAAGTGTCTATTAAATGCAGGCACACTCGTCTTTGAGTCTCCTGTGTAATTCTGTCCTCTTTGTTGTATAACCTGATATGTACAGAGAGACCTGATAGTCCATGGACACAACCACTATCACCTTCAACTATCAAGGACTCAACAACAAATGCCAGCCAGGCGGTAGAAGAAAAGGAACTTTTCTCCATTGTTTGTGGGCATGTAAACTAGGACAGCCACAATGGAAATGAGTATGGAGATTCTTCAAAAAACTAAAACTTGAAATTCCATTTGACCCAGCTATGCCTATTCTGAAAGAGGTACATACACTGATACATGCATACCCATGGTTATAGCAGCAAAGGTCATGATAGCTAAATTATGGAAGTGGTCTATATGCCCATCAAAAGAGAAATAGATAAAAGAGACTGTGGTACTGCTAATCATAAAGATAACTTTGAATCATTTGTAGGAAAAGTGGATGCATGTTGAGACCATAATGCTAAATAAAATAAATCAGTGAAAGTTAAATATTGCATGGTTTTGTGAATACAAGAGACCCAAAATATAAATAAAAAGCAGAATGAAAGATGATAGAAATCAGAAATGCAGGCTCTATGTAGATGGGCAGGGGATCTAGGAAATGAGAGGTGAGGGGAGGGGAAGGTTGGAGGAGAAGGGAAAGTAAAAATGATCATGACGCAATATGTATATTAACTCTCTAAGATGAAGATAATTATGTATCATGAACATATATTAATTTTAAAACAGTATGATTCCTTATCTCACATAGCAGTGAGGATGCTGCAAAGGTATAAGCCCTCTATCTGTGTGCAACGGACTTAACATTTCCCTTGGGAAATACAGGGATGTGAAAATTTTAAACTTGGGGTCAGAAAGAGGGGATTGTTTTTCCATTCCCTCACAGCGACCTCTCCCTCACAACCATGACAATGGTAATGAGTTACCATTCTTTTTTGAAATTTATGTATTTATTTTTTAAAAATTATTTTATTAAACAAAAAATTTATTAACAAAAAGTTCTTTTATTAAATTCAGAAGCCACTGTCCAGTGAGGTCTTGTTCATCCCTTTAATACAGGCCTCCTGTCACCAAGCCAGAGTGAGCAGTGCTTCCAGAAAGAGGCTTCAAAGGGCCAACTGCAAAGTGTGAGCCTGTTCGAGAGGAAACTACATACTGACATCACACAGGCACAGCCGTCCAGTCTTTGTGGATGCTGCTGTAAGGAGCATCTCTCTTTCCTAGTCCCTGTCTGCATGCACTCCTACTCAAGTTAGTATTGTTCTTAGTTCAGAATAATATCCCTTGCATGGGGTTCACTGTAACTCTGGGATAGCTGAAATTTAAATCTTCATTAAGAATCCTCATGAACAGTATAAGGTCAAGTCAGTCATTTTGATAGACCCAAGCTTTTTTCGAGTGAGGATTATTGGCTCACACTATTCCAGGGTACAAAAGCCACAGAAGAAGAATAAAATAAGACCCATGACACCAAGAAGCTTTTAAGAAGACAGCCCAAAACACCAGATGGCATATAGTTGCATGAAATACAAACAGCTCTGTCTAGCGTAGAGCATGCTGGGGCAGCCATGGGGAAAATAAGACTTGTGTTAGGTCAGGAAGGCTAAATAGACCTTAGACAAGTGAGGATGTTACATCTCAAGAAAGAGGCAAAATATTAAGACAAAGACCACCATAGGACAGATGACAAACTGTAGGCCATTAACCTGTTACTCATTAAAAGCATGATTTGTTTTCTTTTGAGGCAGTCAAGGACTTGAAAGCCACTTTTGTTACTAAAACAAAGCAAAACAATAACAAGAAGGACTTTTCACTGGGGCTTGGAGATGCTCAGTAGGTAACTAAAAGCAGAATTTGTATCTGTCTCCTTTATTACTTTAAAACTTTGAGTCAGATCCTTGCACAAGTCTGCACATAGCCATCTTAATCATTTAGGAAATATCTGTCTAAAAATTGGCAGTACAGGATGGATTATCTCTAAATTTATATAACTTGCTTTATCCCCTTCCAAGAGTGAAGACATAAAGTTAAGATATTTACAGAGACATTCAGTTATCAGCGAGCACTCAGAAGTCTCCAGTCATTGCCATAAGCCTTGGATTCCAGCAAAGCCTCCTCAAAACTGAGACTGCCAAAGTAGTAACAGTCATCTGGTAGAAACCAAATTGCACTCTCAAGCGATGAGTTTTCTAGACTTTGCAAAACCACAACTGAGGTAATAACCATTCCCTAGCCCATCTCAGCCCCTTTATAAAAATTGGCCTTATTCTTTATCAGAGCTCTGCCCTTCAGCTCCTCAGGGTGAAGTCCCTTCCAATTCTCCCATACTTTCTAAGTCTACCTCACAAATCAGCCTGTCCCCTCTCACTGATACATCCTTAAGTGTTTTTCTGCAATAGTAAGTCAATATATTTCCCAGGCCCACTGAGGTGCACAACTCCTCCTCAGGGGGACCTCCTTGTATAACTAGCACACAAAATGGAACTTCAGAAGTTACATTTTTTTCTTTTAGTGCTAAGTAACTTTGCCAGACTTTCTCAGGGCTAGGATATAAATAGCTACCCCCAACTTCTCTCAGCCAGATGAATACAGAAATGCTGCCACCAAGAGATCAAATCCAACTTCATTTCTTTAGGCAAGACAAAGATCTGGGTTCAGGAAGGGATGGAACAAGCCTGCACATAACTGTTGTCTCATTGTATTCTCTCCCTGCACTGTTCCTTGCTATGAAAGAGCCTAACACACCTGTACATACCTGTGAGATGGGAATTTGAAGCAGACAGGCACCTCCATCTCCTTAGAACTAGCTTAGAATGAATCCTTTTTCACCAAAATAAATGGCCCCTTTTGTGGTACATAGTATAGCCAGTTAGCTTATAAGTAGGTAACTAGTAAAAGATTAGAAGATGGAATCAGGTTGGTTAGTCTTAAAGGAAAATAGCAAGGTTAAGGGTTAACTCAAGCCATATAGATCACTAAGCTCAGGAATGTAAGAACAAGGGGGACCATTATAGGCAGATCCCCCTTCTCTTTTACCTTCTTCTGTTACACAGCAAGGTTCCTGAGTGGCCAGATGGTATGTGACCAGCTCATGGCCACAACATGTTTTTTTTTTTTTCTGTGAGTTGTATTAGGGTATGGCCAATCCTTATCCAAATTCTATAGGCTAAACCCATCTTGACCTCTTGTGGACAGAGACCTGGCTACCTTAATGTGAAAGATCCTAGAGAACCCACTCTGACAACCCTTTTTCAGGTCCCTTCCCAACTACTGGGAGCTTTCTTATACTTCCAATAAACACTCCTCTTAACTGCCTTTGTCCATGATTTCATTCTTTGACTTCGTAAGACACCAGCCCAGTTTGGATGGTAATACTGTAATTTCAGCAGCAGCAAGCAAGTAAACCTGAGCATATGAACATAAATGACCAGAAGCACCTGGCTTCTGTCCACTGACAATGTGAGCTTGGAACTGAGTGGCTTCTTGGTGGGTCTGTGAGCAGAAGGGCTGCTGAGAAATAACAAGGAAGCGAGTTGAGCAAGGCAGTGGCATTAGTAGAAGCTTAGACTTGATGGTACAGAAGGCAAATGGGAACCGTTTCTCTCCCCTGAAGATTTTGGCAGCTTTTAATGCTTATTTCCCTTGAGCTCTTCAGGGTTCCCACAGCTAGTCCATGCCTCCTTTCTGGCTGTGCCTGTTTTCTTCTCTCACCACCCTGTCAGTTGTGGTGTTCCCAAATTCACCACTGTTTGTTTACAGTGGAAACTAAGCCCTTATCATGCAAGCATGGTCTTTCTCTGTTGACCTTATTTCAGCCTCCTTAGAGTCTGTACTCCCCTCAAACCAGTTTCCGTGGCCTGAGAATCAGTCCATAGTGCCTCCCACTTCCTC